CATTTGCTGCTGTGTATCCATGCAAAGGAGTAAAAAGTCCGCATCCCAACATATTACACAGACATTGACGAACTCTGCATGTATGGAAAATGTATTTCAATCTGCCATTGCTTGAGTTGCACGTTGGTATAATTGAAAGCCCGGTACATGTTTGTTAGTTGGCGTTCGAATCGTATCCATCTGAATTCGTAACAACCCTACGACACCAAACATGCCATTTCACCCACCAACAGAACTCAACCCGTCATACGGCGAACAGTTTTTCCCATTTCAATGATAAGCTACGTCGACGTTGTCGTTGATGTTGACTTCGACGTGGACGTCGCAGTCAAGTCTGTACCCTTCTCACATGAGTTGTTTGTGTCGATGAATGTGGATGTTACCAATTTTCCCCCGTGTGTGTGTCTTTTTTATTCCATGCTAAATGTACACATCGCAGTTCGGTGTGTACGTTGTGTGTCGTGTACTCCTCGTATTTATATATGTATATATGTGATGAGGATTTTGTTGTTGTTGTTGTTTATCGGGTATGTTACATTTTCAGTAAGCGCAGAGGCAGGCGGCGGAGTGGTTGTGAGGACGGTGGTGGGGTTTGGAGTGTGGCGTGTGTACGATTGGGTGAGTGAGTGAATGAATGAACGAGCCAGCGTATGTGTGTGTGGGTTTGTGTGCGCGTCCTCTATGTATGCCATACATTCACATATATTTTTTTGGTTAAATCACTTGAATTAGTCGTTTCGAAACAGTTGAACGGTGTAAACATACGCGCAATATACACGTAACTCTTTCGGTTTTTTGGATCCATCAGTTGTAGTTGTAGCCAGTGTGTGTTCAGTTCATCCTGCTCCGTGTGGGTGTGTGAAACTAAATGCGGCTACCAAGACACAGACATTTGCAATTATATTTTTGAGTTGTGTTTCGGAGATGTGTGTGCGCGGTTGTTCGAAAACGGTTAAAATTCAAATAACTTTTTAAAACTCGAAATAGTGATAACTAAAAGTGAACAGAAAATCAAAAGGTACAACATCTTAGAAAAGTGTCAATACGAATTCCAATTGGAATCCCACAATCCAATTGGAAGTAAAAGCAAATAAATATAAATAATATACATTATCGGTACTGAAATTGTGTGTTCTGCGGTTTGGAAATTTTAAACTTTTTAGGAACTCCAAGCAATTAAAAGAGACTCCAAATTGTTTATGTGATTGCAGTTTAAAACGTTGAAGGACTTCAAGGTCAAACAATACATGAGTGACATATATTGATTTAGAAAAAACACCGTTTGTTGCTAATATTTATATATGCTCGGATCCGCATGGTTAATATATGCGTTTGTATGCGAGTGTATGATATATTAAATCCATCTCAGCCCAGTGAGCATTCTCCGCGAATAACACCAAAGAAGCACGTCGGCAAAACTAAACCGAAAAAATAACTTTTAAAATGTATCAGATATGATTTGCGAAGTGAAAGCTAAAGAATAGCAAGGATCTTCTCATGTGTGAATAAATACTTCGATTAATATGATATTAATTTATAAATAGTTTTCATTCGAAAAATCTTTGCGGTGAAAACAAAAGATCGTCAAATCATAAGTCTCGACTAAATTTTGAGATATTTTGGAATTGAACATTTAGGAAATAGAATAAGAATCTTTGACTGTAACTGTTACTCTCCATCCAAATTCTGTCGCAGATGAACAACTGCAATTGTATATTTAAACTACAACCTAAAATGTATTTAATTTAAGAATGCATTTGTACCAATTATAAATAATATAATAAAGAAATTGCCCGTGTCTTTGAAGTTATAAATATCGTATGGAATTATGCATCCAAAGCAATCAGATGGGTTGTAAAATTGCACGCCTCTGATTTATTTTTTACAACATTAGGTTGTGGAGATCTAAAAAAATTGCTCAAATTAGGGAATGTACCTCAAGTCATTGTTTTATATTTTCTTGTATACACAATTATGTGGGCGGTTCCAACATATTTAGTTTAGTTTATATGTTAATTTATATGTTTTAACACTTTCGAAAAAACGCGTCAATGCAAAACAATTAAAATCGCCGGAAGTGGGTTAATCTTCGGATCTCCATAAAATGACAAATATTATTATCGGTTCAGATTTAATCACTTCGAAACCATTTACAAACATTTCCAAACGAAACAGCTAATCCGGCCAATAAATCGCGTTCATAATTTCTGAATAAAACTGCAGATGACAGTGTCCCGCCTCTATCCGCTGTAATAGCGGAATGTATTAGTCGCTTACGGAGAAGTAATAAAACCGATTATTTTCCTGCGAAAGAGTAATAAAACATACAGATGTACACGATGTTTTACAATAGAAACTGTATGCGTGGTGAACAAACAAATATCATATTTGCAACCAACAAACTGTCCACTTCGTGATTGTTCACCATGCGAAATGTTCTGCTTTGAGTGTGTGGTTATGGGTACATGGTTCGATCCTTGTGCCTGACAGAAGTATGTGAGAGCACTCAATTATATGACCTTTGGCCGTAACATAGGGATTCCATTTGCAGGATACCTGTATATATGGCTTTACTCTGTGTTCGTTCTTCCACTTACCTGCTTTGCTACGAACTAGGTGTGTATGTATGCGTGTTTGTTTGTCAACACATATGATCACGCACCTGATTATCAGTTTTTATGAGGGTTGTTGTATATTTTCGATACTCATCATCCTCTGTCTGTGTAATGCTGGTGTTGTTGTTTGTGCATTTGCCGGCTATGCATTTGTCTGGCCAAGAGACAGTGCACTTGTCACGGATCGCTCCTATGTTTATTTGCATTGTTTGAAAAAGCAGTTACAGTTAAACACTTGTCGCGTGAACATCACATGTGCTGTGGTGTGTCGAAAGCAAATACACAACCTAAAACAACAAAGATTACATTCCTAATAAACCGAAATTCGAAATAATAGTAAAAAGAGTGCCGTGTAACAAAATAGAACGACGGAACGGAAGAGAAAATACTCCGTTATATCATTTAATCACTGTAAGATTTACACAAAATCGACATTTCTTTCCCGACTCCTTCATCAACAAGGTGTATAAGCAGTAGTGTACCTTGGCGGAATTGTTCCCTTTAAATGCTTCACTGACTTAATTGTGCTCTGTACTGTGGGTAATGCATTTTAGCGTAAAGCATGTGTTAATATGCGGTTTCATTTCATTCGTCAACAACAACAACAACAACAGACTGACACTCATTCACATCCACGGCTCCATCACGTCATCCTTAAGATGTAAAACAAATGTTGGAATGACGAAAGGTTGAAGTGGAGGGAGAAATAAGCCAACAAACGAATGCAACCAGAAAAAAGAGTACACATTTGTGGTAACAGCTGTTTTAAAAGTAAATTACTACCAAAATAATAACAACTTTTTTGCCTCCACACACATACACTCACTAAGTTCAACTCTTTCTTCTTGGGGTCGACCGAACCGAATAAAAGAAGAACTCAATTTTGCTTGAGTCGTTTGTTTTTTCTTCTTGTCTTGAGTCTACATGCTTGTATATCCTTGATATTCATTTAAAGCGTACAGACACTATATGCAAACGAGCGAACATAGATAGCAACTTTTTAATTTGTTTGCTTGAAAGAATCGTCAAAGCTTAAACCAACAAGCGATATTATAAACTAAGTAGTATGCAGCATACACTTTCGCTTGTCACTCACACCGTGAGAGACGTCGCCAGCCTAGGCTATATTTTCATAGAGAACTCAGTGTAGCTACCAACAATTTGGAAATATATAGTGTTAGTATTGCAAAACATAGCGTAGTAATGATAAAAACAATATTAATAGGAAATTAATACAGCAGCGACATATCCCTAGACCATTTCTTCCAACATGACATTTTAACAACAAACAAAAAATATATCCTTAAGGATATACACGCAGACACGTACATATCTGTCGAATTGCCCAACTGTTCCCCTGGGCGGCACAGACATTACCTGCTTGTGCCAAGATTCTCCAGTATTAACATGATATATGAGAACACTCATTAACATATTATCACGACGCATATGTCAAAAAGCTTATGCTGAATGTGAAGATTATGTATAAGCCAATAAAACAAAACACACACATACAGACACTTTCCCCATATGCAGTTGGGGGAACATCTTAAAGTCGGAACATCATTTCCTCACTCGTCTAACTGCTGCCAGTTTACCCTGCTCACGTTTATTCTTCCAATACCTCAGTTCAAGAAAATTCTTCATTTCATCTTCTTGTTCTTCTTTCTTTGCAGAATAACAACACACCATTTAATATTTGGCCAAAACGAATAAAATTACACTGTCGCTTGCTCCAGAACAGCAGTGAAAGGAGACAACGAAGACGGCCAAAATGTCAACAATGAGGCTGTAAGAAAACCTAACAAAAAAAATAAACAGCAACAACAAAAAAGTGTAACAGAAGGACGCGCTACTCTCCTTAAGCAAACATTAACAACCACATTCCATCAAACGCCACGTGATTTTCTTTTTAAAAGTAAATCGACTTTAAGACGAGAAGTTGGATAACAACAACACTCAGCCGAATAGCATTTTCAAATATATTACAACTCACGTGAACTCTCACTGAGTTATTCGCTGTGCCTGTCTGCTGTCTGCCCGGCGCGTCTAGAAGATTCGTAGACATCCCAAGGACAAAGGAATAGGACACAGAGATACGATAGATAACAGATAGCGAACACAAGATTGTCTGTTAAATGTTGAAGGAATCGGAGGAAATCGTTAAAAGACGTAAACTGTCGTTAACGGCGACAGATACTGCCGCAATTGCAGATATAGTGAGTGACGAAACCACCAATATTCCACCAGGAACGCCACCAACCCCTCCGCCACTAAACATGGCTATGGAAATGGACCGATCGACAGAGGCTTTAGCTTTGACCACATCGCGGACGAAAGCATCTGCTGACGTTGGCGGCTCAGAACACCAAACACCTTCAAAGACACCAAACACAGCCGGCATGGTCAGTGCACTGCTGGCGAATAATGTAACCACTACGACAGCAACCACCATTCCCGATCACTATAGCCTGCGTTGGAACAACCATCAGAACCACTTGATGAGAGCCTTCGACGCCCTGCTCCAGTCAAAGACACTGGTTGACGTCACCTTAGTGTGTGCTGAGACCAGTATTAGGGCGCACAAAATGGTGCTTTCCGCCTGCTCACCTTTCTTCCAAAGAGTTTTCGCCGACACACCGTGCAAACATCCCGTCATCGTCTTAAAGGACTTTCGCGGTTGGGTGGTGCAGGCTATCATTGACTTTATGTATCGTGGAGAGATCAGTGTACCTCAGGAGAGATTGCAAACTCTGATACAAGCTGGCGAATCTTTGCAAATACGGGGCTTAGTTGAAAGTTCAATACCGGAACACACCCCAACACCCGCGGCCTCACCGAATGATTTCGGCATGCTCGACACATCACTGCTCTCCCCCGAAATGGAGAGGTGTTCCAGCTTTGACGAAGAATCGCCTTCCATGGTCACCTCTGGTTCAAAAATAATTTTACCTTCTAGGCTATTTGGTGGATCATACCGACGTGAAAAGGAACGCAAACGGGAACGAGAGATGGAACACGACTTCGAAAGCGATCATGAGCTGTTGAATGATTCACTGACCAACAATGATTTGTGTACCTCGCCCATGCCACGACGCAAACAGGCTAGGCCAAGAAGAAGGTCAGGAGAATTGACCAACGACATGATCAACAATAAGCCCTCAACGCCCTTACCTCCCCTCGATTGTTCACAAAGTACTGGAGAACAAGAAGTATGTAAAGATATCAAGGAAACGTCAGATGATGCTGCAATGGGAGAAGAGAGGGAAGGCTTGGATCCACTCAAAACCGTGATCAAATCTGAATTATCCGAAATTTTGGACGACGAGGACTCGCATGCTGGTGAACACGATAGCGGAAATGATAGTCATGATCATCCCGAAGAGCTGGGCGATAAATTAACAGATAGCAAGTCCCCATTTGATAACAAACGTCATCAAGTCCCGATAACTCAGGTTGAAGACTTGGAGCACGACGAACGTGAAGAACCTGAGGATATAGAAGAGCTCATCAACACCACCAACGAGCTGAATAGAAGAAGAAAATCTGCCTTATCGATGCATTCAGATGGTCCCGAGGACTTGTGTACAACGAAGAAAGATAACGACACTAGTGGACATCATTCGGCATCTGATAATGAAGACTGTTCCAATAACAATAACAACAACATCTCTAAATTGCACAACAATAATAACCGCATTGTACTCTCGCTCAAGGACATACGTCAGCTCAACAAACCGTCATCATCGACGCCCAACCCCTCGTCCAATAATATGAATCCCTTTTCCGCCACCAGCTTAAGAGATTTGCGCTTGGATCGTTCCTCGATGGAAAATCATTGCAAAATGGAAGCTTTGGAGGCTCAGATGCAAGCTGCAGCAGCATGTGCAGCAGCCGCAGCTGCAAACGGAGAAAATCCCTTCCAGCATATGGAACATCAAATGGACCTATCATTAGCGGCTGCCGCGGCGGCAGCGGCCGTATCCCACCAGCAATCCCGCGACCATGCCCTGCAGAGAGAACAACGTGAAATGCAACAGCACAACGCCTATGCCAACAGCATTTTAGGGCAAATGGGTATGTCAGGCATGCCACCTTTTTGTTCCCCTGCTGGAGCGCCACCTAACGGAGGTCCTTCGGGCCACGAACGCTTAGAAGAGAGCATGAATCGCATGAGTAAGGAATTCACTCCCACTTCCCCTATGAGTCTGCCACCTCCATACAATCCACAAGATGGACCACCGCACCCACCATCACCCCTACCTTTCCCCGGTATGTCGTCAGCTCTGGCCTTAACGCCACCGCACAGTGAGTAGCATATTTGTAGAACTTATATATATATATAACAAAATCAAAGTCCCTGCTCTTTTTCTGCCCCCACCCCCACTATTTCAAACTCTCTTAGAGATCCGTCAGACTGACTCGAAAGCTGCAGGAAAAAGTCAAACACATTAACTCCTGATAAAACAAGCGGAAATCCTTAATAACTGTTTTCTCAAATGTTATTTCAACCTTGCCAACAACGACGTATTCACACATACGACTTCGTCCGCCCATCTGTTATGCACACACATGGACGCCCTTAGCTGTAGCATTGCAGCTCCATGCAACGACGTTGTGTTTACTTTGTGTTTGTGTTTGCTAGCGGAGCAATTTCTTTTGGGATTTAAACGTGACGTATTTTTGTTTTTCATTTTACTCTTACGAAGTACTTATTTTTCCTTGCTGGTTTTGTTTTCGGAATATAGCTGTATTAGGTACCATCATTGCTAATAATGAAACAAGTCCTGTATAAGTACTTAGAGAGGAAGAGTTCTCCTTTTTCTGACGTCCTTCATATTATCAGCACTTGACTGCGCTACTTATGACACATGACAACGACTAAGACCGCAAGGATGACAACAGTGCGTTGTTGCCACAACAAGCATATGTTACAAGGGGGTCCTTTATGATTTCAACGTGCAACAGTTGTCTTTTCAAGGATATGCACTGCTGTTTCTCTACCACGCTCACTTCGAATTGCAATATTGCAAATTATTGCTGGGATATCGACAGAATTGCCATTAAATAATCCATTGTGAATCAGAGGTGAATTACTTTTTAATGCATACCACAATTTGAAGTTAAAATTTCATAGTGACAACTTTAACATTTAAACACTACTTCCTACTGCTGAACTGAAAATCTATTCGGCATAACTTTGTCTATTTATGCGCGCTTTATGTCTGCATACGTTCTAAGGTGGCAATACTGTGTTACTTATTATTCGATTACAATTGGATGCTTGACGTCCCTTTGTTCTAATGGAACTGCATTTATGACTACTACCCGCACTCCACATTCTTGTTGCCGATATATGAATGTGCCTTAATTTATAGCGACAGTCGGATTTTATGTTGTTGAAAATCGGAAGGGGGATGAAGTCGAAGGCTTAGCATCTTCACCATTCACTCGATTTACATACGACGGCAAGTCCTTCTGAGAGGACTATCAAGCATATGACAACGCATATAATATTGACATTAAACAAATCAATTGTGAATATGAAAACGGCGAAGAAGGTGGGTGGGCATATAAAAAACGCGAAATCGAATAAGGATGTGACCGAATACGAATGTGCCTTGGTACGGATGTATGCATTGTGGTTTAAACAATGGCTGGCGAATGTTTCCTTCATCGGCAACGTGAAGTATATTCTCGGAATACATTTGAATACAAAGAGTCCTTAAAGACGATTCGAGATGAAGGACTAAGCCAAGATATGTCATAATCTCGTCCATAGGTAAAAGTAACAAATCAGCACAGCAAATGAGGTGATGTAATGACTTGTTTTGCAAATTCCCCATCTTTATATTCTAGAGAACAAACAGTGCTTGCGTAACAAATACCAAAGTAAAAAGTTCCCGCATTTGTCCACGGTAGTGGCATATGAGTTTTCTCCATTGACTGAGGGAAGTCTTGGCTTCATTTATGTGCTGTTGTGCTTATTTTGCAATAACTCATGTGATTTCGAATCGTGAATTGTCCCCGCTCACCATACCTATCTAATTACGAATCGGTTGTCCTCTTGCCTCTGTCTTATTCGTCTTGTTAGGTGGTGTGCTTTTTATGGGGATTTTTTTGGCACACAAGTCTTCAGTTCTTTGCTTCTGTGAGTTTTCCCACTACGACGACTCCAATTTCGTATTTCCGCGATACCCATTCCGACACACAGTAGTTGTTCGGCGTTTGCTACCACAAAACGTTCATTATTGTCATACATAGTGTATGTTTGTCGCATTACCTTCACACACTCCTACCAGCGGTGGCAATTCTTCTGGCTGAGTCCTTAAGTTTACTTTTTTATATCCTGCTTCGTCGGTCTTCGAGTCGGTACGTCCGTTTGTTCACATGTCTATTTGTATAGCAGCATAGTGGAATGTGCTTGGATTCATGCAGGGGCACACATTCGCTCAAATGCAGATAAATACAAGGAAAAAGGGTATGCATGAGTTCTTCCCAGGCTGTTGGGTAACGTCTTCTTTTCATCGAATGTAGGAGTTTTTCTTAGACAAACGGATATTATTAATACTCGTATGCGCAATGTGGATGCAAAAAAGTTCCGTTTTATCTGTCTGTCCTGGATTTCCTAGTTGTGCAATACCGCACGGTGGGTGTGTGTATGTAGTTTGGGCCTTATTCAAAGTTTCCTTTTCGTTTTGATGTGCCTTCAAAAAGGGCACCGAAAAACGAAAACATTCTTCAGGTTATAAGCGTATAAATCTGGGCGTATGTATTGATGTGTGTGTATGTAAAAAATAATGTTGTTTTTCCAATGTCACAACGAGTGAATCGAATTGTTTGTCAAATACCATGCGAAAGGTTAGGGAAACCTAGGACTGTCAATTTAAATAATGGCTACAATTTTTTTCTTACCGAGTTAAATTTATGAGTTGCTGAAAAATATATTTTGAAAACATTATCCTAATGGGAATAAACGCTATCTTTATGTTATTGATTGTTAGAACAATTAATTATGAATTACAATTAATTATGAATTAATTACACATGCCAAAAACATTTTATAATTTTACATATTATTTTAATCGTTACAGTGTTTGGATTGGATTCTCCATTGGGCCTATTCCCACCGGGCATCGATCCTGGAAAACTTTACAATCCCCTAATGGAAATGTCGGACCCCCGAGGAATGCCAGGCGAAACCCCACCATTCCTCAAAAAGAAAAGTAAGTACAGATTAACATTGAAACCGATACAAATAGGCGCCATACACGCACTCACAAGCATTACCGACTCTTGCCTTACTTTCTATATTGATCTGCCAAAAGAGAGGCTTTTTGTAGATCCCTGTTAGAGATAAATTCCCATGCATGAGTTTTGATATATCGATTATGGATTGTTTTACTATTATGCCGAAAGAATCTGCTACAATCGGCTTACATTAACAGCATTCATTCATAATCCATCCACTTCACATACACACACACAACAACACAGACGTTCAACGAGCCCCCACCAACAATCCAACAATCACAACGGTTAATGAAAGGCTGTCAATCACTTTGGCCAAACTGTAACACATTCGTTTGTCGTACAAGCGATGTAGTGGTAATCATTTATGATTCTCTAGGGAATTCCATTATCTTTTCTTGAGGTTTCATCAGAACGCAAATGAGACGTTTTTATATGACGGCAGATATAAATTATGGCCAAACACATGCATTGTTGTTATTGTGGAACAAGTGTTTTGTTATCGATCGATCACATCGGGACAAAGCGAAAAAATGTAATAACCCAATTGTAATTGCCACTGCAATCCATGACGGACGACTGCTATTGACTGACATGCATAGGTGCACATGCTCAATGAGCAAATGCAAATGCAGGAAAACCGCAAAATTGAATTTGCCGCCTCACATGCATTTGCAAGGCATTGTGATTCAGTGCCATTTTGCTTTCACATCGCTCACTCCCTCCCGTCCTCCCCTTTGCCATACTGAATACAATTGTTGCACTTATTGCTTATTACAAAGTGTCGTCGTCGTAAATGTAAATGCAATTTTCTGACTTGAAAGGTACACCAGGTACTGGTTTGGATATGTCGTGATTTCAGAAATATACGCACATACGTTTGGATAGAAGGATTTCAAGCCGATATTAACTGCAATGAATTGAAATATGTACAATGATAATTCAGACAGTAGATTTTCTAATTTTACGAGGGCATACATCATATTCCGTGAACCTGCTTATCGATACCAGCTTACTTTGCAACATTAAGTTAACCTGCTGCAATCATCTTTTGACGATCGTGTATGCATTTTTTCAAAGTGCTACAAACGAAGGGAAAACAAACCCAGTTTAGAGAGCTCTCCATTCCACTGCCACAGCACAAAGTTGAGAACAGCTGTTTGGAGAGTGTGGGTGTGATTAAACGATTTGTTCACATTTTAAACGTGATTTAGGATTTGTTACAAATATTTAGACTCTCCTGGTGTCCTTCCATAGCCCTCCACCATTGATTCCATATTTGCATCCGCACTGAAACGCCAGACATATGCATTGACAATGGGCTGTTGTTGTGGAAGTATAACGCCGTAGGAGAGGGCACGAAGGGAGGCGAATGTTAGTAATAATAGTTTGATAGTATTTAACAACTCAAATACGATTTGGACATTTCTGAGAAATCAAAATCGGGAAATGTCGGAGGGTGCAGGGACTGTTGGAATACTACTGATTTAGTTACTCCGAAATCGTGTTGACCCCTACCTCGATGTTGGGTCACTGAGAAGAAGCCAACGAACGGCTATGTCCTCCAGTTCATCCTGTAATAATTTTATGAGTGTATCCAAGCTACATATTCGCTTCGATTAACTTATGTTGTTGATGTTAGTCACCATAGAAGATCACATATTGTGTATTGTACGAGTAATGTTGTTGACTGTGCATTATGTGGTTGTACTGTTGTTGCTGTCGTCAGCATTGCCGTTTGGCAACAACCTGTGGCAATAAGATTTCCAAGCGATAACATCTCTTGGCGTGGATATTGCCAATGCAAAGAGATACACACACACACACACCAAAACAATTCACATACATATGCAACCTTCTCAATTGAGATCTCCGGTATTTTGTTTGGATTTTTATTGAAGTTGAAAGGATTGCTGTTGTCTGGGCAACCACAGATTTAGTTCGGTTTGGTTTGTTGGCAATGAAGATGACGATGACGGCTTGGCGGGAATATGTGGTGCATAATTTGCATATGGAACCACCACAGTGTGATCGCTGATAATATGCAATGTACTAATCTTTGTTGCCACAACTCCACAGGGTGTGGGTGATGAAGTTTTTCTGTTTTTCTTCTGTTCGCTTGTTTGTTGCATTGCATTGAGTGCCGTTATGGAGTGGCGGTATGCTGGAACTCGAATTGTTTTGGCAAATGCAAAGAGTTACAAAAAATTAAAACATTAGTGTAGAGATTATCTTTTTATTAATATTGGTTTTGTTGTCTTTATTGTTTTTCTTTTTAGTGCCCCGTCCCAAAGGTCAGCACTCGGCTCCTCGGGGTGGCCCACCCCGTTCGTGGACGAATGCAGAGCTCACCGAAGCTCTGCAGCATGTTTGGAATAAGAAAATGACCACCTCACAAGCCTCCCGCATCTTTGGCATACCCTACAACTCGCTGCTGATGTATGTTCGTGGTAAATATGGCAAAAGCCTGAAGCTTGAGCAGCTACGCAAGGACTGCATTAGTGGACCTCCATTGGAGTTGTTGCAAATGGGTGTCAATTCCTCGTCGTCGAATTCGAGCAACAAGAATTCCTCAGAGACTAGAGAGCAGAAAGAAGCGCGGAAGGAGGTTCAACGAAACAACAGCAACTCGGCGAATACCAATGACATGGACATAGTCTGTGGTGGTCCCATGACTGGGTCAGGACCACGCAGTTCTAGCTCTGAACCCGACCTATTGGGAGGACCGAATTCTCTTTTCAACCCCTTTAATCCTCAAGGCTTCTATCCGGACTTCCCCGGCGGGTTCCCCGGTCTACCCCTAAGTATGCTGAATCTGTTACCTCCCTCGGAAAGACAGCACGCAGCAGCCGCGGCCGCTGCCATGCATCATTCCATGGTCATGGATGAAGATTGCAAATCCGATCGCTCGAAACAATCTTCATCTGTTGATGATGAGTTCACAATGGGCCGCGAGGACCGTCACCGCCATAATGAACTCATGCAGGCCACTAACTCATCTGCCTCGACTCTGTCTCAACAAAATGGTGCCGGACAAGATTGAAACTTATGGCGGGACTGGGCGACAACCCCACTCATACTCCCGCCGCCAGAAAACAATGGATTCGACCTTGCACCACCACATCACAGCCAGTCTCAATTATCAGCTCCATCATCAAACCACACTGATTCTACCGATGATGGTCTGTGTCGTGCAATAAACCGGAACGGAAGTGCCACTGACGACGACAAGGACCACATTCGTCCGCACATTTTCAAGGAATTCAATCAAAACCTCTACATGGCCCGAAAAAAGCTGCGACGTTATCGAAAAAAACATCTAAGAATGCACCACGATTTGCACCCCGCAAGTATGGACAATAGCTATGGCACGAACCCCAACATGCTTGGCGACGTCTACGTCGGAATGCAGTCGCAGGCTGTAGTCAGGACATAGACGACGTGAAAATGCTCAAGGCCTGGCATCAGTGTCGCCTCCTTCCCTGTGGTGGATATTTGTAAAAATATAAATTTTAGCCAATAACAATAACTGTGACTTAATGCGTAATTAATATGCAATATTTTCTTTCCCTAGCCCCTAAACTAGATGTATACAAAACAACTATGAGCTATTTGCATTTGTAAAAAACACAATCGCCCTCAGAGACAAATAATATATTTTAAAGTAATCTGTTTAGTTTCGATTATCTTCCATGTTCGCACAACGATTCACTTTATTTTACGTTCGGCCGAAGCGTTTGCTTTTTGGTGCTTTTAGTTCCTATATCTCTCATTTTTAAGTAAACCCTCATATTTTATTTTTTATTTTTAAATGCATATATATTTTTTTTCAATCACGAACCGGGCTTACAAAGCCTTATTGTGATTTTTGTCCCAATTTGAAATGCTTTATTATGTTAAAACAAAACGTTATATTTTCTTATAAATCAAAACCGACTTGTAAATAGTACGAAGAGAGACAACTAAAATTAAAACTAATATTAAGACATCCAAATCGCCCATTAGTCTAATGTTGGAGACAATGGACAGCAACACGGAATAGTATTATGATTGTACCAAAACTCTATATTAATCTCTCCCCGCTCTCACTCTCTCATTATACCACTCTAGAATATCATAAACTAAGAACATATTTTAATATACTCAATGGAAATTTACGATAATTTATCTAAGCAAATAACATCAATATAGACATTGTAGTAAGAATTGTACGAGTTTAGTTTAATATTTAGTAAATAGGCAATAAAGCACAAACACTCACACACACACACACCTAAAATTAACATACACATACATACATTCGTGTACAGAAAATACAAACATAAATCAATTTGTAAAAGCAAACTGGACTTTTGAATTCTTATTTTTCCATGTATAGAAAAATGTAAAGGACTTCCACCACTCGCTAATTGGAAATTAAATACAATCTAGTGTGGAATCAGGTATCGAGTCCCCTCTCTCCGTCGTCATTGTGAAAACAAATATGGTATACGCTAAATAACAATACCGAGAAAGAAGCAGCATTCCTTTCGAATCCCTTCATGTACAAATCAGAATAATAACAATACCAACTGACATACCTTACAAGCCAAGCAAGAAACCAACCTCTGAATTTATTAGAAAATAAATAGATAAAGACACGCCAAAATCAAGGCACCGCAAAGAGCGGGCATCAGGCTGATGATTAGTTATGCAAAAAAAAACTCACACACACACACACACAACTCCTTACAATTTGAAAACAGGGTAATCAGATAAATATGTAGATAACACCAACTCACAGAACAAACGATTTTCAATTTTTTAGACGAATATACATATATACATTAGCATGTACGTTCGTGCATAAAACGCAATACAATATACATACATACATATACAGGATTGAGATACTTACCAATTTTCTAGATAAAATAAAAATCAATCAGCAAACTTACCAAAACAAATCGGAAGTCTCTTCATTTCTGTAAAATAAGACAGAGAAAAATATTGTTAATTAGTTTAAAATTCGTTTAATTAGGACATAAATTATTTGAGAACTGCAACAAAACAAAGAAAATACAGGTGGCATGAAATTTATTCAACAAATTTAGCATTAACCTTAATCGAAACAAAAGAACAACAACACATATTGTAACAATTCTGAATATAAACAATAAAAATTGAAATACAAGAACTTGAGAAGAAAGCTCATCATTACTTATTGAATTGTTTTAAGAGAGTTAGAGTGTTTGTTTACCATTCTCGTTAGATTTTTTAGCAGAAGCGATTGGAAAAAAGGTAATGAAAAACATTTTTGTTGTAATTTATTAAGTATCTAGTACTCAATACAATTATGCAAAATTGTAAGAAAATATCCAATAAGCACCTAGAAAACAGTGAAACAACTCGTGCATGCACTCACTTTTGTCCGTTTTCATTTTATGAATTCTTTGAAGAAAAGACATGAATTCTTTAAAGAAATGACATGATAATTTACATGTTATAACTACATGGTTATAACTACTTCTTTGTTAAGAAAATATAAGTTTTAAATGATTTAAATATCGTTTATCAAACAAAAACACCTAACAATAATAAATCGCAAAGAAATGTTTAAAACCTTTGTTCCCAAACCCCATCTTAGGGGTCGTAAAAATAATGTGGACCCACGCCTAATGGTAAGGGAAATGAACATTAATAGGTTTTAGCACTTAAATGTGCTACGTTAGCAATCGTTAAGCACGTTATTCGGAAGACGACGTAAAGAGTCCTTCCCTGCAATGGCTATAGCAGCAGTAAAAAATACAAGAACCTGTTTTAGTGTCAGTGAAGCACGGTCATGGTATAAATTGTGGCATCTTGGATCGGCGCAAAAAATGTATACCGATTAAAGAAGTCTATCGAAGTCTTTGTGTCGCAATGACCAACCTAAAGTACTGATTTCAATCCGAATGATAATTTGTGGTCAATCGTGAGGAAGCAGCAGATCTGAGGTAAATGCAAATAATATTGTACTGCAAATAGTTAGAAGTGTGCCAAATTGTATAAATGACATCTTAAATAATAGAATACTTCGGTATAAAATTAAAAATTTGTGTTTTACTTTTATTTTTATGATGTAAAAAGTGTTCAAAGTAGATACATCCACACTCTCCTACAGGACACTGTATATCGCAGATGTTAAGTCTATGATTATCAGCCTTATTCTGGATATTCGCTATGGAGAGATCTACTTGTGAAAAATTCTTCGCTTTCACAATCTAGCCGTATTCAGAATGAATAGGGAGAAGCAAACAATGCGAGATGCGGATTCGAATTTCCGAAATGGCGGTTGAAAAAAGATTCGTATTGCCAGGAACCGTATTGCCGTATTGCAGGGAACTTCATAGTATTTATATATGAATGATTTAGCAAGTTTGCCACTGAACACATGATATACGTACATTTCGAAGGAAGATATTTCCATTTAAATTTTGAAAGTTGAATGCTGAAAGGCAAATTTATGAAAAAATAATTGGAAACATATGACTGCACGAGGCTAACTTATATAATTATACTATGGTTTTGTACAAGCAAAAAACAATGTATATAAATTTAAACTCATATATTCTTCAACAAATTGGAACATTTGTACAAAATTTTTACTTTTTGTAATGTTATTGTTTGATGTAGAAGAATGTCTCTTACTCTCACAAATGAACTTTCTGAGTAATTATTACTGTAAAGTACGCAGACATACCTAATTTTCGTCTCAATAAATATACGGTTATTTATGTAATAAACGACATTAGAAACCACCAAATCAGCCATAACCATCTTTTAGGATTATCGCACCAATCTATCAGACCAAACCTCTTAATATGCACACATAGTTCAGAATATGCGAGTTCACAAGTTTACGATGAATTGATTTGCAGAATAAGGCTGAATATATTGGAATATGTATTTACCACTTCTATTTAACATTTAAATCTATATAAAACGAAGTGGAGGTACGACACTGTAAGCATTGATAGTTGATAAATTCCCAACATCGTAAAGACCTGACATAATAAATTTTGGAACAAGAGAAAATGCAGTTATGTTCGTATATGTGGTAGCACAAGTCTTTAAATAGGTAAGGAAAACAGAGAAACCGTAAAGACTTGCCAAAATGCATTTTGACAAAATAGTTTATGAAAAAATGAAGAAATAAAAAAAAAATTAAGAAATAAAATGATAACATATATGTTGAGTGCAGACCTGTGATTTTATTTACATTTTATACAGACATTTTCGCGTATTGGGGATTTTATTCTTAACATGCCTCTGTTATGCCTGATTCCTTTGGATATTTTTTCATAACCTATTTTGTCGAGTCTTTACGGTTTCTATGTCTTTGCAAAGAAACCATAAAGCAAAGAAATAGCCTCTTTGTTTTATGGTTGTTACGATATCATAACAACAGAGCAAACTATTTTAAACGTTTTAAACGCTATATCGCAAGCTTATAAAATAAAAACATATTGTTACGTTCTTGGATTTTACTTAATCCCGTGTAGACGTTGTTTTATTTCCCAATACAGTTCGTACCAAATAAAACGCGGGTTCTTTCTGATTACGAGTATTACAATGATTTTATTGACACAACTTTACTTTGCACGTTACTTTACAGCTTTACGTTACTTGACGGTTTCAATTCGCGATCTGATTCACAACTGACTAACTGCCTTTCCATTTCCCCTATTTATACCAGCCTTGCCTGTCGCTACAGAAGTTTCTAGACGTCTGGTAACACCTAGATTACGAACAATCTACCAATGCAACACACACATACAAACTTACATTGAGTGAACAATAACAACAACACATATACAGGCGAGGGAGTAACAACCCAACAAACCAAAAGTATTGAGAATAATATTATATTAAGCTTACCAACACAAGCATTAAGCTTGAAAAAGTCTTGAGAAAATCTTGAGAAATGTTTATTAATAATTGTAGAAAAATCAAAACGGAACCCTTATGATACAATTACTTGTGTAATATTACTAAAAGATTATTCTTGCAATTGGGAAACAT